ATATTTAATCCTAGATAAATCACATAAATTGATTTTGTGCCTTGATTTTATGCATTGATTATGTGTTAAAATAAAAAAAATAAAAAATGAAATTAATAAAATAAATAAACATAATAGGTATTGCATAAAATGATATACGTAATATTTATTACTGAGTAACAAATACCTTGTTTTATTTCCTCATGCTCCCTCTTGCCAAATATTGTCTTCCAGGATTAAATATTATATAAATTGTGGCGCAAAAATGCAATGTATATGCTTAGAGATATTTTCAGTATGCATATATCACGACCGAAAATAAATATTTCACGTATAACCTATTGAATACGTAGTTCATTTAACAAATTGATACAATATCTATAATCTATTTGACAAAATCATGTGCGTCTTTACGATTATTAATTATTTGTCTCTATAACGCGCCAATTTTAACCTAAACTTTTACAGTCTATCTATGTGCATTGAAAACTGGTTTTTACACCAGTTAAAGCGATATGACATGAGATCCAATAAACGGTTATTCCGCGAAAAACTTTTTGCAGCGATAATTTTTAAGTTGGTCAATTTCGCGTTACTTTAAATTATAGTTGATTTTGAGAGATGTAATATTAATTTTTAATACACCATGAAATAATTTTGAACGGATTACGCACGATATATGGTAACTAGATGCAGCTATCAAAATTCAAATTGTATTCGCTCGAGTGCACAAAATATTCACATTAGCACAATTTTGCGCAGGAAATTTATTATTCCTTTCGGATCTCACGTCATTAATTTCTCACCCACTTGAGGCGAGATTCGATATTCGAAACGATAAATCGAAAATGTGGACCTTAGATTTCTTCAGCTCGCGTTTTGTCACTCATTTACTTTGCATTGTTATTAAGTTCTGCATGCAACAGATTTAAAATTCCTATCGTTCATGAAAAGTAATCGGATCCATTAATAGCCCGTTGATTAAACTTTTTTGTCAAGATTCGGAGTTTCTGATTATATCGCATTCGATAGTAAAATTGCTATCATTCGCGAAAAGTAGTCGAATTTATTCGGATTATACACAGCTTTTTCTCAAGATATATATTCTGATTAAATAATATCTCTTTATTCTTAATCAAAGATGTTATCACGCGTGTAAATTAGAGTATCTAAGACAATTAATAGATTTTGGATGTTAGTAATTCCGTAATTAATTTAATTGCTATAAATGGTCCTTCGCGACGCGGTCGTGTTTCGCGCATCGTGGGAAAGAGCGTAAAGTCACTACGCTCATTTGCCGGCTATGATCAGCCGGCAATAGAAGGAGTATTTCTCCTTCCTGTCTCTGGCTATATCGCCAGAGTGGATTTGGCCAGGAAACGGTAAGTCCATATACTGGCCAGAAGAGGACGTATACAAGGTAGGTTGGTGTTCAACACCAGCTAAGTAATGTAACATATGCACGTAAGATAATATTTTTTGCACATACAAGTGTATGTGCATGTTTGGAGACGAAAAAGTCTCTGGTTTAATTCCCATTAGCCGCGAACTTAAAATCTCTTAAACTCCCTTTAAAAATCTTCCCTAATCTCGGGTAATCGCGGTCGCGACTAATTAAAATATTAATAAACTAAACAAACTAAAATCAATACGGGTGGGTAAAATATGATGTTAAGTAAACAGGAATATGACTAGGTAAACATGAATACCTAGGAATATGGATAGATAGGAACAATCTAGAGATAAAAGTTCGGTTAGGTTCGGTTAGGTAGGGACACAGGGGGGATTGTAATTCGACAATATGATGTTAATTATGTAAGAATTATGTAAGAAGTTAAAATTATGTATTTTTCCAGTACATTGTAACTACGTAATATTATATAATATTATTTAATTGACATATTACTAATTAGTATATAATTAGTAATATGACAAATAATATCATATAATGTAATAATTTTTTCTTTGTTACATAATTCCAGAGTATGTTACTACTATGTAATATTATTTATAATGAAATTATGTAATACTAGTGCCGGATATATTACACGAAATCAGTACAAAAACGTATGATAATATAAAATTCGCTAAATTAATGAGTTTAAGAAATTTTTGTCATTTTTATAATTTTGTAGAATATTCAAGTTTTGATTATTTATTCACAATTTCGCGTTTCAAAAATTATTGCCAATTATTAAATAATATTCATATATCACAATATCAGTTGATTTATTCGCCGCGTTTAACAATGCAAATTTTAGATTATAGTTTATTTTTTATTTAATCATTGACTAATATCACAGAATTTTTAAATAAAAATCTTAATAATAAAAAGTTGATCGTTATTTTTTTTAATATTTACAATAGTCAAATACCTGATTTAAAAATAGTGAATTTTAGTATCATTACACTTGTTTCGAACGCTTTCGTAATTCGGCATCAGTAAAATAGTTCAAATACTTTATATTGTATTTATATTAATGTATGTATGTAAATATCTCAAAATTTTTATATTGTGTTTTATAATTTTATTTACTTTCTATATGCTTTGTATAAAATAAATTGTAATTTTATACATTGTTATACATATACTGTAATTTTTATGCTTAGAAAAAATAAAAAGCATACAACCACAAAGAAAAGAGGACCGCCAGTTGGCGGGGGTGGTGGAGGGCCTCTGGAGGTTGATCTGCTTTTACCAGTTGAAACATTAATTTTAGTTTAATAGAATTTTAATTGTGCCTCAAAAAGAGACAGAGAAACAAATTTATGTACCTTATACAAAAATGAAAAATGATAAAATAGCTAAAGCTAAAAGTTGAGAAAAAACATAATTGTTATAACCTTTCATTTTTGTATAAGGTACCTAAATTTGTTTCTCTGTCCCTTTTTGAGCCACAATTAAAATTCTATCAAACTAAAATTTACTTCAAATTAACTAAAAGAGAGTGGCAATTTTATTACCTTTTTGAAATTAAGTTTTTTTTAAATCATTTATAATTTATAAAAGTTATGGTATATGTGTGTATACGAGTATTTCTATATCTTCTTAAAAGAAAAATTTATTCAAAATTGATCAAAGATTTGCAATATACACACATATATATTATACACTATGTATACTTATACATAGTGTATAAATTTATTTATTTATAACCAAAAATGTAAAGTTAAATTTAGCTAAAATGGATTGAATCGCAATAATATTCGGTAAAAGCAGAACAGCCTTACGAATAGATAATTTTTCTTATTCACCTTCCTCGTGATCGTCAGATTGTCGTCATATATTTTCACTTACTTTTTGAAATATATATTTTTCCGTGGGGGTATTCAGCACTAGATACGTGGGATGTGAATTTTATAAAAATTTATATAAATATAAACCTAGTAATCTGTTATTAGCTATTTTTACTATATATCGTGAAAAAGCTAATGGTTACGTAATATGCATTAAATATCATAATTAATTCTTACTAATTACTGATTATATACATTATTAATTATCACATACTATTAATTATCAATTTTGTTTAGATAGCTATTATTACGTTTTAAAAAGAGAATTATTACGATTTGGAGAGACTAATCAATGCGCGTAATGTCTGTATTCTTTCGCGGAAAGAAAACTGTAGCTACCGTAGCGCAAAACTGCATGTGGCGACTAAATTTCAGTTGTAAAATATGAACAGCTAATATTTAGTTGGGATAGCTAAATATTTTGCTACTGTGCCTATTGTATTAAGTGCGACAGCAAACCGTTTGCTGCGTTTTAGAAATTTATATTTAAGGCAGCAAAATATTTATAGTAAATCATGATTAGCTATGGTAGCGAAAAAATATTTTTTCAGTGTTTGAAACGAAAAAGTTCCAGATTTCTGCAAACATTTTCTGTATCAGAAGCAAATGAAAGTATGGAGTAGTAATCACAGATATCAAACATTGTTTCGTTTCCGTTGGAAATCCCTCGGGGACCACCGTAGTGAAACGGTAATTACCTAACTGATCCATCAAGTCGAATGAATAATACACTATCAGTACGCATCTCATTTAGCAGTATAGTCGATTGGTAACAACGATATCACATGCTCCATCGAAAACCTGTACACATCGAACAACACAGAGACGACATCGTGTTTCATCAGCACATTCGTTTATTTTTTGGCAGCAATGACTTGGTGAAAATCAGTGGGAATTGAGTGGAGTCATCAGATGTGATTGGATGATGATGGATCGATTGAGCGGCGGTGAAAGAATGCCACGTAACAATGATTTTCTCAATCGGCGAAATTTCTGATTCTCCGTTCTGTACTCGAGAGAGACTCTGCGATCTGCTGGAACCAGTGATTACCGCACTCATTCTACTCGAGTTTTTAACCAAAATTATCCTTATCCTAAACGTTTCACGTCACAGCCAACCAGCTGGAGAAAGAAAATTATTCTCACGACGAACGTTTAACGTAAGATCACAATTGAAAATACTCTCGCAACGAAATGGTCAAGAAATTTTATGCTTTTACGCTCAATTGTTCGATAAAACGCGGAGAGTACATACTCTTTGGAACAATACTTTTCACCGTTGTCACATCGAATATATTTTCCTTCCCATTCCAAAGAACTCCGTCCATTTCGCGGGATAACAATCTAGCAGGTAAAACATGATCGATATTCTCATTAAGAGGATCTCTCAGCCATCTTTTTTTACCGACACAGGCAAATATAGTTTTTACGCTTGTAATTCTTTTTATCAGCTTTTATGCACAAAATAATACCATGATAAGTTGCGGACTGCACAGCAGAACATTTTCATACCTAAAACACTCAGTTCAGAAGCCTAATAAAAGAGATGGCTGAGGGATCCTCTTAAGCGATGAAAAAAAAAGAAGAAGAACGACGCAGAGATGACCGCAAATATCGTTCTTCGTTTTTGCGCATCTGATATCGTAAGCGGTATTCGTGTTCCACGGACGAGCAAATTATATACGCAAGAACGACTAACACGGGAGTTGCGGGAGTTACGTTACCTTGTTCTTGCTTGTTCTTCTCCATGGACATGCAAGCGATGCGCCACTCCTGAAGTTCGGGCGACGGGATAAGGCCCGCGGAACCAGCCGCGTTATCCTTCCGCGCCTGCCACCAGTGATGATCATCCTTGCTGATGATCTGCAGAATGTCACCGGTTCTGAAAGCGATCCCGGCCTGCGCGCACGGTATCAGCTCGTCCTCCAGTGGATCGTAGTCGAATTGCGCTCGAACGAAAATCTGTTGGTACAGCAAGGATCACGTTAAAATTCTTTAGTGACGCTGCGGACGTCGTTATTGCTATCGATCACTGTTAGATTCGACGTCAAGGATTTCACTTCGCGTCGATATATTTAACGAGAGAGAGAGAGAGAAAGAAAGAGAAAGAGAGATAAAGAGAGAGAAATTACATACGAGAAACTACTACAAGGTGGAGAGTACGTGAGAGATAATCGATAAGATAAATGTGCATCTTACACAGTGAAATCATTAACATCTATTGGATTAGTAAGGAGAGCTTTAATTAACAACAATAGGTCCTCGATCACATGAGACGTGACTAAGATATCGTTCTACGGCTATATCGATCGCTGATGGACCTACACAGTAGCGCTGCGCTAGACAGTAGCGTACGAATCTAGGTATTGCGAAGAAAGCGAGAAGAGATGCGACGTGGTAAGCACTGGCAGTAGCTCTTGTAAAGAGTAACAGTACAATGTTAGAGAATGTACAAATGTATCGAATGGCAAACAGAGCGCTACGCAAGTACGCCCGAATTGACGCGTTGCACGACGCATGGCAGATCCGTGGACAAATTCACACGTTACCTCGAGAATAACCAGCGATCGACTCGTAGCTCGATTTCGCCACATCGCTTAAAAGTTACGGGGGGGTGAGGGACACGTGAAAAAACACGCGAATTTTCCAGACGAAATGTAGACTCGCTGGTCTCCGAACGTCGCTGTATGACGTTTTACAATCGGTACGCAGTTAGAGGCCATCGACTTTAGTTCAGGGGGGGAGCCTGTACGGTTTTCTCTCTTTTTTCTTTACAGTCAATCGGTACACTCATCGGGGGCAGGACACGGGGAATTGTGCGAGCTTTTTGTTGTAATGCCACCAGCGACACGATTCGGTCATCTAGCGATGCGCAAATACGCAGTACGTGTAAAGGCATACATAGATATATATATATACATAGTACACGTATGAGTGATTCCGTTTCACAAGAAGCTCAAGCACTAGTTGCTGCACATCGCGCAAGGACAGACGCACACGTATACGCACGCACGCACGCATACCGAGAAGATATGCACGATGCAGATATGCGCGCGGCCACTACATGAATGTGTGAGTGAAGAACGGCGCATGAGAAGGTATAATGTATATATATATAATAGTAAGTAATAATGAACGGTATGGTTGCACAGACACACAGTGGACGGAGAGTGGCTTCCGGTTAGCGCACGTATCGTTCGCGAAACAGAGCTGCGGGAGGGGCCTTCGATAATGCACTCGGAGAGACGCAGGAGGAGGGTTGGGAGGACAGGGGGGGGGGAGGAGGAAAGGACGACTGTCCGTTTTGATTTCTGTACGAATATTACTTGTCCGGCGTATGCAAGTCTCGCAATTGTATCGGTTTTAATTACAATTAGGAATTTTCCGGATATACCCCAAGTCCGAGTATCGACAATTCCGAACTAATTAACGGGTCCCGCGCTAATTAGAGCCGGTACGGGCGAGTATTTGCGACTGCACAGCGCCGGCTGAATGTACACCGCGGCTTTGTCCGCTGGCAAATTTATAATATTATTTTATTATCGTCCCTTCGCGTTTAATAGACTGGCAATTAACGCACGCGCACGGCGCGCCTTCGCTCTTATAATTTACCGGTAGGCTGATTCGATTTAATATTCGTACAGGTCCGTGTGCGATAATTTTCTTTTACGTATCGATCGAAATTGTGGGGTCGTCGTCACTTCTGGTAACGGTGGGGTTCCGACAGAGTGCACGGTTAAAATCTTATCGCCGTTCGTACAAACCGACAATACAAAAAAGAAACACGAAGGTATACTACGTACTCTCTAAAAGTCAATCGGTGGATTATCACTGAAAACAGTGAGTCGTCACTAATTTGAAGAAAATCCACACGGAGAGAGAATTTTCTTTTAAAAATTTGCCCTGAAAACCATGTCGTGGGACAACGTGGCATTTTGAAGAACTGTAGGAGAGTTTTTGGAAATTTTACCATACATTCTACTAGTAAAATGTATACTAAGTATAATCACTAGTAGAATGTATGGTAAAATTTGAAAAACTCTGAGAAAATTCTTTGAAATGACACATTGTCCCACGATTACATGATTTTCATGATAAATTTTAAGAGAAAATTCTCTCCGTGCACCGATTGACTTTTAAAGAGTACAAGAGGAATTAATTGTAAGAGTTTCATGCGTACTGCTAAAAATTAAATGTTTCGGGAGTCAATGAAATCGTGATACAAAACAAAGGTCAACTTACGTTTGTTCCTAATTCCTGGACCGTAAGGCGCTTGTAGGATTTTAGGTCCCACAATTTCGAAAATCCCGGATGCGAGCGATCGAATGTACAAGGGCAGACATTCTCTCGCGGATGTACTCGCGATTAATCGTAACATTCTGCCAACGTGTGGCCCGTTGAACTATCAACACATTTTCGTCCGTACGTTCCCGGAATTAGTGCGCCTCCTCTCTCTTTGTTGGCGTCATGTCAGCAAGTGTTTCCTTTGAAAATATCGAAACCCGTTCGAGCAAGGGCCACACGTTTTCAGACGGGACGACCGCGTTTCCATGAATTACGTCGAGTGCTTTGAGAAGCGAAAGAACTTCTTTTGGCAAGAAACACATGGGCGCCCGGACGAAGGGAGAGGCTGTTAAATTTATGTAGCTATCGTCAATACACAGAATACTTTTATCCGCAAAATTATAAACAGGTGTAACAACTTACTTGCACGCGTAAGCTTGCACACGTAAGCTTGCGTTAGTAAGGTATTTTTTTTAGTGCTTTTGCTCCGAAATTTAATTCAACAAACTTTATCTTGTATTCCACAATTTCTCGTAGACTACTAATGACTCGAAATAAAAATGGCTGCAACAAAATTCAAATACTTTCTTCTCAGCTTCGCTTCTAGAACATACGACCGAAAGAAACACGGCAATTCTTATACACGGTACAGCGACTGCGCTTTTTCTTTTATCTCTAAAGCATTCCTCCGAGCGTCCATGCGAACAGGATTTTTTTCTTTTTATGAAGGCATCTATAAGCGAACGTATCGATACTCGCACTGGAGGGCTCCTGTCGCGGGGTTGAAGCATTGCGAAAAAAAGAGGGAGAAGACGCGCGGGATTAAAAAAAGGGAGGGAAAAGTTGATAAACACGAAAATCCGAGTAAAGTCCTACTTTTCAGCGATGGCGTGTGTAGATGATGATATAAGAACAGAGACAGTACGAGGCATTTGTACAAAATGTGTATGTGGGTACGTGTACGTGTGTATATATATATGAATATAATATATAAGTATATGTACGCATAGCCTTCTAACTACAGCAGTCCAATCACACCAGATCAAGTGGCGGTACTTACTAACACTGGCAGAGGCTTAATCCTGAACAACTAGAGTGTTGAGGAAACAGAAAAAAAGGAAGATCAATTAATTAATCATGTTTCAAAGTCGCACCAAAGCGTAATACGGATTTTAATCGAGAACCCTCCCCCACGCGTGCGTCGCGCGAGGGGAGAAGAAAAGTGATAAGAATGACACAATCAATGATAAAAACAGCACCTACGGTTGAGTCGCACGCGTCAACGCTTCCGAGATGCACGGTGCGCATTGCTGTGTGGCACATGCAGGCTTTACTAGATCCCCTCGTATTATCGAACGAAGATGCCTTTCGTACTCTCGACTTGTACGAGCGTTGGGCCCCCGCGCGCGGACTTACGCGCACGATATCCAAATTGGTGGTGTGAAACCGCTGTTGTTAACGAAAAGTGCTCGAGTCCCCGAGATACGGAAAGATCAATCTCGCGCGCGGAAAATCACTTTCGCACGACTGTAGCATGTCGGCTTTCAGCCCAAGTTACCGGCCTTTCCGCACCGAATCAGCGATACAATTGATTAAGCCGTCACTTTCAATCGTTAATCGGGAATACGCAGCAAAATTGATGGCCAGCGATAGTGAAAAAGTTTCACCCAAGCGTGGAGAGGCGCTCGAAATATCGACTCTTACGTACTTTGTGCGTTTCATTGCGTCCCGCATTGTGCAAGTACCGCTGATGCAGCATGAAGAGTACCGCTATTGATACGCAATCCAAGTAAACGGGCAATGGTAACGGTCGTTAATTGTCGCCCGCTTATTTAGATTTCGTGCAAAGTGATATTGCACACATAGATTGTCGTCGTACAGCGCTGTGTGCCCAACACCTGTCGCGAGTCGAATGTACGAAGTAATTTCGTGCTCGCAGTTCTACGGCACGTGCGTGGCGCGGAAATGCGAGTTTCGAGCGAGAACTCTCGATGCTTCCTGTCGGGAGTCGGGAGGAATCAAAGCGGACTGGTATACAATTAGCAAACATTCTAATGCTCGGCGGTAAACGCCTCGCGTTTTACGCGATGGAGAAGTTCCCTTTTGGGGCGCGTTCGAAATAAAGGTACTCTCAAGCGGGGGGGGGGGGGGGAGCGAGCCGGTACAAGTTCTCGCGGTTTATCTCTCGATTGCGCGCATCCGCGGATCGAATCGACCGTTCGCGTTAGCCGCCAAAAGTATCGCATTCGCGCGATACAATTTTCCCGGTCTCTTTCCAAATCTCGCGCCCTACGAACGGGCGGAGCTCGTTTCCGACGGTGTTCTCGTGTTGACGCGAGACACGCTTTACCCCTGTAGTGGGCCCCTCGAAGGTACGCAATAGCTTGATTGTCACGCCGCGATTTCGTTAACAATCGCTTCTACGTCAAGCGAATGGTGGCACAGTGATTTATAATACAAAGTGAATGAATGCGAAATCATGGGTAACGTCGATTCGGAGTGAATAAAAATGAGACTGTAAAAAAAAAATAACAACGGTGCAACACGCAAATTTAATTAAGGAACTCTGCGAATTGGCTTTATAATATGTTTGTCGGCTTCAATATTTCAACCTTATCTTCATCGCGGATCTCGATATGAAATTTATATTCAAAATGCCTGGAGATAGAGCGCGTGTCCGCTAATGGATTTAACCATCGGTAAATAACGTTAGTTAAATATATGCCGATGCCCTTCGTGAGTAAATTACATTTCGGGGACGGCGTAAAATAATGCGGAGGCAAATTGGACGATGGGGTTAATTACCCGAAACAAATTGGGATTTATTGCGCCGCGAGCCGAACGCATCATTTTTGACAAATCGATACCGCGCAACCCCGTTTTCTTGGTCTCCGGCGACGGGTGGAGGGAGGGGGAGGGGTGGCGGTCCATGTGCCCGCGCGACGCGGAAATTTCTATCCTATCTGATTACAAATTCCTATCTCGCTTCGATTCGGACGAGAGGAATAATGACGCGAGTCCCTTTTATGAAACCGATTCCGCAGACGCGCCTCCCGAAACTTCGGGCCGCGCTGCTCGAATAAAGTCACCGGCGCGATTGTGCCCATCCCGTTTCCATAGTAACGTCGCAGAGAGGACAGTGCATGGACATGGTGGTTTCGGTATGTGGGTCTCCGACGTGCATTGGAAGCTGCGCTCTACTTCAAAGAAGAAATGAACGGGCGTACGAACGGGGGGGGGGGGGTTGGGGGGTGTTGGGTTTGACGATGGTATGCCGCTGATGGGATTTCCAGGCGACACCGGGAAAGACAATTCTACTCAGTGATATAGCAGGTACTGCGCTATCGACAACTCGTCTGGTGGACTGACTGCTGCTGATGCTGCTGAATCCTCTTGTCGATTTCCACCGGGGGCCGGACCGTGTGCTTCCGAGCGCCAGACCAGAAGAACCAGGCTTCGGGCTTGCCTCTCGGAAGAGGGAGACGAAAAGAGAGAGAGAGAGAAAGAGAGAGAGAGAGAGGGGGGGAGAGAGAGAGAGGCGTATCGCAGTGCAGAATAAACTCGACTGAAAAATCTGCGGCGGTTCCATCGCGATAGCGATATGGACCTTCCCCGATTGAATTACCAACGTCCGCAATACCGGCTCGTACTCCCCGTCGTCGCCGCCGATTTAAAACACGATTGAAAAATCTATACCACTTTTTTCAGATAGTTACCAATATCCCGTGATAATGGATTATAACGCAGTTTTGAAAAGTTCTGTGCTCGACAGGCGAATTAACGCGACGGATGCACCGCGTGCTTAAATATCTTTTTGATCCGCGTGTTAAATACTGTTTTAATCGAATCTGCCTCGACACAGCACTGCGACATGTCTCTCGAAGAATCGATCGTGCGAAATGATCTTTCGCTACAAGGGTGAAAGTTCTATGTGGATTGTGAATACCGTGGACAATGTAGACCGAGGTTGTCGGGGTGAAGAGAACACAGACACGTAAAGATTACCTATTTCATCCACGCATACTGCAATTAACGTGTGTGTGTGTGTGTGTGTGTGAGAGAGAGAGAGAAAGAGAGAGATATGGTGACGATGTGGGTAGGGGTAGCGAGCAAAAAGCAACACGTGAATGCGGGGATGAAACGCGACTACAGCCACGAAAGATTTTTCCAACGTTTTCCGGATCCAGCCGGGAAACCCACCGTCGAGTTTGCCCCGAACGTCGCCCGACGACACGGAATTTTTACGGACGTCTCTCCCGCACGCGATCGTAGGGACGTTACGTCGAGTTACATTTTCGTTTCCCACGATAACTTTCGCGAAGCTAGGACGTCATAAATCGAAAGCGCAAACCGTCGGCGGGCAGAAGATGCCGCGCGTGCTGAGAATGAAATCCGAGATCGGAGGATCAACGCCGGCGGATGGGATTTCGGTGCGTTTCGTGTTTAATCCGTATTTCTCGTACGAAAGAGTAGTCGTGAGTGAAAAATGTAGCTTGTCCCGTTAAAAAGCACGCGCCGCCGAACAACATGTTTAGTCCACGTATTAAAAATTTTCGGTGAGATAATAAATAATAAAAAAAAAACAATAAGACTTCTTTCTTGCATTGTTACAAAAAAAAACATTTTTTCGCCGTACATTGGCCGTAGCGTAATCGGATCCATTTATCTACACTCAAAAAAATGATCTCGCAACTGCGGCAACAATTTTCTAGGTACGAGAAAATAACTGCATGTTTTGCATTTAATCGATTTAAATAACAGAAACAAAATTTCTATCTCGACTGTTAGCGAATGTTAGGAAGAAAGTCTTTCTGTGACGTCCATTATAACGTTTGATTGTGGCACGTACACAGTTATATTCCTTAAGGCCTGTGTTCACTCGCAACTTTTATGGAATAGTCGCAAGTTGATTGGCTACACATTTCTCGAAATTTGAACCAAGTTCTAGCTGTGGCACCGAAATTCATTTTTATCCAATGTGAATGACTTGGGCTCAGTTTTTCATTTTCTGGTTAACTGTTAACCGGAGTAGAAAAAGATGGAGAGTCGGCTAACTCCTGGTTAACCAGAAAATGAAAAAGCCGGGCCCTAATCAAGAAACCTAAACTTTCCATAAGATATTACCAAAATGTTACTGCTAATACAAATTTTGTAAGCAACAGACAATTTTCTCACAGAAACACAAAATAATGAAAAATTTTTGTCGCGACCCCCTAGAAATCTACCTGCGTTGGTAAGATACTTTTTCGAGTGTGATTCTCGAGAATATCGCCCGTAACGAAAGACAGAAATTCCCTCTTGCCGAGGTGTCCCGTGACGGCCGATTTTTCACGCGCCGCCGAATCGCGGTGAAAAAGATGACGCTAATTTTCCCGCGATGCTTAACGAGATCTACGGGGGAGAGTGCGATGGCGTCGCACGAGGACCGGGGCGCGTCAAGTGCCGACGACGATGCGGGGCCGCAATCGTTGCAGGACGCAAGAGCGACAAAACTCTGAGAGGGAGAGAGGAAAGAGAGGCATGTCGGACACGTGGGTGTGCGTATGCGTGTGTGTACGTCGGAGAGACAGAGGGTGTCCTCCCTTGTGTGCGACGCTCGTCGATTCTATTCCTACGGCGGACACGGACAAAAGATCGCGTTACAGGTGACGTGCGACGACTCGTGGTGTGTGTTCCAGCGGTTCATGCTTTATTATATCTTCGTACAATGCACTGTGGGGAGGGTAACAACGCCGCCGTTGCCGTTGCCGTCGCCGCCGCCGTCGCCGCCGCCGCCGCCGCCGTTGCGCTCGCCGATGCTGTTGCTGCTCTCGCCCTAAAGGTGTGCGACCGGGGGGATGGGGGATCCGAGAGTGATGGCTTCGGAAATGCAACGTGGTCGTGGGGGCAGGGGGGGCGGGAGGGGTGTGCTTATCGAGGGTGTCTCGCTTCCCGTGTAACGCACGAGATACCCCTGTTCACGTTCTATTCGTCGTCGTCGTCGTCGTCGTCGTCGTCATCGTCGTCGTCGTCGCGAAACGCCTTGGGTTACATTGTCTTATTCGTATCGCGTTCACGTGAACGGGTTTGCCGCACACTCCGCGGCAGCGC